TCGGTGGTCTAGACTAGTCCTGGACAAAGAATCCGGTAAAAGTGGTCGGTTTAGGTGCTGCAGTGACCTATTCGGCTACATTCCTTGGCTTCAAACCGGGCAGATGGTAGGGGTGAATGGACCTAATACGGGAGGTTGAGCAAAAGTCATCGAGTAGAAGGGCAACGATGCTGGAAACCCACGAAAACCCAAGTTATACATTCATGGTACAGCGAAGGTTCAAAAACTTTTACAACCCTGAAAAACTTTCTAAATAACGGGTCATCTACCCGTGCGATTCTGTTGTTCAAAAGAAAACGGATATACAGGAAGTCCCTCAAGTCGCGTTCCAACCTAACAGTATGTCCTGTAGCATAACCCGATGTCTTAAAAGCATTAATGCCCCTTCCTGCCACCTTCGGTCCTTCAAGGTAGTCGATCTGTCAGCCATGTACAGCTAGGACTATTTGTTATCTGAACTATTTCGCAGAGTCCGAGGATCAGAGTAAGTAGACTTTATTCTTTCAATACGTTATCTCTATATTTGCCTTGGAATTGTCCACCACTAGTGTTTCCATAACGGGCGTCGCTCTTCGCTTTTTAACCCTTCGGTCGCCTTTCGCTATCTTTGAAATGCTTTGTCTCCCGTGCTGCTGTTGTTTCTACGGCTCAGTTAGTTCGTCTAAAACTGTTTGATCTCTACTGAACTGGAAGAAGCCGCATCTTTTTGTTCGTTACTGTGGATTGTGCCTCTTTCCAGGTTATCATATCATTCTTGTATGTCCCTTTCAACCAGTACAAAGTTGACTGCTTTCCTTTTTCTACTTTATCTGCTCCCTGTATTGGATTCAAGAATCCGTCGTGAATCGATGATACTCCTTCTCCGATTCAATTCTTGGCCACTGTCTGTTCATGGTCATTGGACTGGGCGATTTGGTGAGGAGTGAAGGGAAGGAATTGGAAGCGGATTTTTCTTCGGATATTCGGGGAGTTCATGCTGATAGATTTTGATAAATAACAAATGTCATGATGCAAAGTTTTTCAGCAAGAAGGCTCATTACATATGAGGGGCGTGAAAGGAACACCTCTAGCGGTGAGCTGTCTTCAGACGTTGATGACAGTTGTAAGGCTCTCCATTGTCCTGTAAATGTCAGTATCATCATCTCCTTGATTCCATCGGGTTTGAAACTCGTGTGGGAGCTTACAGCTTTGGGGATCGATATCGACGCTTCCAAAGAAAGATATTTGGGGACCGGCCTTTTAGCAAAACTGGCGGGCCGTATATCACCAGCAGAATAGTCAACAGTAAAACTGTATGCAGTAAACATGATAACATCAGTTGCTTCTCAAAACTGATCGTTTTGAGGGAGTGCTGCCTTTGATGGGGCATGGATCACAAGAAAGAAGTTCGATGCACTGTTGTTACCCAAGGTTTGGAAGTAGTCAATTCTCGGAATTCAGCCAAATAGTATTGAATGAAGAGCTGAAAGCGCAAGTGAAGTTCATTGAACTAAGTGACTGAGCAGCGATCGAGTGGCTCTGTCTGGGAAGTGCAGCTGGCTCTCTGTCGAAATTTTGAAAAAAAAAGAAAAAAAAACTAGCAGGTGTCTGTTCAGGGTCTCAGACATTTCAATGAAAATGAATCCGATGTCCTGTGTGGTTTTTATGTGCCGACAGCATGTGCAGCTGTTCCTTCCGTATGTATTCAGTAATTACTGTTTAGTTGATTCTACTTCTTACCCGAAACTATTTAACTCGGGGATTATCGTGGCGACCAGAACGAACTTGCAATAGGGCTCAGGTGCCCATTGACTGCTCAGCATACCGGTAGCCTTACTCGCAACCATAAAACTTCAGTAAGCCCTTATGAGGCGGTTCGGCTCACTCCTTTTCACCCTAGAATTTGAGAAAGGAACTAAAGAGAACTCGTAGCTACATGGCGCAATGTAGGTCCGAACACCAAATAAATGGTCCGAACACCTAATATACTTCCGTAAAAGGTTCTCTTCCGTAACCATACATTTATCCGCTTTCGAGGGACAAAAGCTCTTCAGCAGTACGACCTCTTAATCTGTTCGTGAATCTCGATGTCACCGCTGGAACAGTTCTCTGACTGTGACCGCCTACGCTCGTCGTAACCGTACAGGGCGTGCCCTAAAACTGGTTGTTAGATCGCGCAGTTATAGTAATAAAATCGTCTGTTTCCGAGGGACCCATCAGTTATCCACTGGCTGTGCATGTCGAAAGTATCATTCCTTTAATAATAACGTTTTATTATTTTGTATAACTACAGCTATAATCAAGGGGGTCAACTGAACATGGAAGCCCTTCATAGGCTTGAGATGTGAGACGATCATTGAACCATTCGTCACCGGAGTTCAATTCATTTTAATGTTTATTCGCTGAAATAAGGCGATTTGGCTGGAGCAATGCCATGAAAGGCCGAACAGGTCAGCAGAGAAGAGGTAAAAGAAGGTACCTTCGTCAGCAGAGTCTCGTATTTACAACAGCTAGGATGCGAACCCATCACGATGCTGTGTTCTATCGATGAAATGAAATTTGAAAGAAATTCCCGGCATGGCTCACGAAAAGAATCACGAAATCTGACCCCAATACAAATTAATTCACAGACTTTCTTATTAATTCAATGAGATAGATAAAAGCTGAGGTTTTCTGATCTTTGGACAGAGAAGCGTTAGAAAAAGCTACAAAAGGACTCCAGCTCGTTCACTAGCTCGTTCACTATTACTACACAGGCTGCTGCTGTGAAACTGGTGTGTAAGGCTCGAATCATGAGTTCCCTTCTGAGAGATCCATTCCTTAGCTTATAATTTTTTCCATTTAGGAACATTATTTCTCCATGACTCTGGTGGTAGCGGTATGTTGGAATGTCCTCATCCTTTGTTGGGGATGTTTCACGGTTGTCATTACCTGCCACGTCGTAAATGGCCCTCCCACTGTGTCGGACGCTCCCTGGTCTAGATGGATAGCATCACTTGATCCGGCAACATTGTACCGCCTCTTGATCTGCACTGTTCAGGCTATTGTAGACCTTATCAGCCAGGAATGAAGTACCATTCAGTTGTCAACGACTACCTTGCCGTTTTCCTAGTGTGTGCAGGTAGTCTATGTACGGTTCTCAGCTGGCTGCTGTTGACACGATTTGTTCATCATGAAATCGCTTTGTTGGAGGCTGCTGTGACGGAAGCTCACGCTGACTTTGAAGTTAGTTAATCCGTTACTCTCTTATGTCGTTCATGTTCTTCATCAAATGTTAAGGACCAGACGTCACAGTCGTGGAAAATCCTTCGCAGCTTCAATCTCGACAACGAGCTACTTCGTCGGCGCAGGGAGGTGCGTATCGCTTTTTGGGCGCTATCGGCACATGACAGAGGATTTTCCAATTTATATATAAAGCCGGTCCCCTCTATTCGTGGCATGTCTGGACAAAATACTCATTGAAGTACCATTACAATCCCGAAGGGGACTCAGTGGAGGGCCGACTTAGTTAGAGATCGACTAACGCCGAAAATTTTACTACTTTTATCCTATTCTTATCTTACAGAACATACTCCACCATTGTATTTTTGACTTCTTTTACCGAATTCCTCTAGGCCGAAGTTATTCATACAAGTTTTGAAGGTCCACCTACAACAGTTGTCCAGAGCGAGGACCGTAGGGTTCATTAATCGAAGATTCAGTCCACCTTCGGAAGACAACTCAGCTGCAATTGGCATTCGGCAGGAGCGCGAACAGGTATCCTGATTCATTTTCTTTTCGTTCTTCTTTTCCCTCTTCCTCCTCTTCTACTACTTTCTTCTCGGACAAAGTAAGCTTTTTCAGCAGAAGGAGGTTGATCCTGCGTCACAAGAAATTACTTTGGGAGATAAGGTAACGAATTTTCACCTATTTCCTCTGCTCAGAATTTCTACAGCCTTTCAAAGGAGCATGTGGTCATTATCTCCCCACTCCAGGTAGCAGAGAGCGATTATCAGCCACTCTACCAACAGCCTATATACAGCAGCTCAAGGTAAGCATCGTATTTCCTTCATATCTTGAGAAACAAAACCGAATGCTNACTTTTATTTTTAATTCTTTAAAGCTAAGCGTAGTAATCTTCGATTAAAAAGGGATAACAAAGAGATTAAAAAGGGATAACAAAGACATTTCCACTTTCCAGAATGTTCTGAGTAACTTTCCCAGAATAATAGCGTCTCCCAGAGAGAGGAAGTCGCCAGAAAGGCAGTATCACGGTCCAGGTTGAGGTGGTTGCGACCAGAAGCAGTCAATCATCAGAGCCTTAACCGGAGTTCATCACCAAGCACTCCTAGAACAATAACGTCATACCTCAACAGTCACAGCCCCTGAAAGGGAGTTTGCTTGGCAAAGTGTGAACTACACCTTGCTAGGACCGCATTTCTTCGAATGCCTGCTCCAAAAGATAATCTGGCCTTCTGAACGATATCTGAAATGGTAGCAAACATAATAGACCCATTCAAGCATAAATGTTCTATTCAAGGCTATTTCATCGTGTACAACAATGTGGGTTCTGATCTCTACGGCTTCTAAATGATACACTAATGTCCTTTTCTTGGTGCAGACTCAAATTATGAACTACATTTGTATATTTTCTTGAAAATATCTTGAATTTATACGAGACGTATCGAGTAGTATACTATTGAGCTATCCGAGTCAGTACTCCAGCATTGAAAGCTATCCTGGCCCTCCTGCAGCGAGTCCTTATGGAGTAACGTTGGACTTTGAGAAAGGAAGCGCAGGCGTTGAAACAGAATGCAGTGAGTATTATGTCGATAGTCCTCCGTTTATGGAAAAAAGATTTAAAGGTTTTTATCATATCAGAATGTACTCCGAAGACCGATTGCCCCGCAGGTTCGCCTGGACCACAAGGCGTAGCAGGTATTGACGGAACTGATGGTGAACCAGGTACAGCCGGTGTTGACGGAAAGGTAAGGAGTTCATGAGCAGTCTTGCAATTGCGTTTTGAAACTGATCCTAAGGGGCGACTTTCTCCATCGCCAGCCCGATTCTTTAACCCAGTCCCACTCAGCTCAGTGTTTTTGAAGCTCAGCGGTAGAGGCAGTAACAGTAACGCAACACAAGCAGCAACAACAGCATCGCTACCATCTCCAGCAGGCCCAGCATTACCAACGCGAACTTCCAGATCGAATCCCAAAAACCAACTTTTCGTCCACCAAACATAGATTTGACTTTAGCTCTCGAAATCTCCGAAATTGCGAACCTCAGATAGCGATGGCAGAGAAAATGTATCACTCTTGTTGGTTCTCAAGTTATTTCGTTGTTTTGAACATCGTTGGGCGTTTCCTGTTTCCGACGAGGGCACTCTCGTGTTCCCGTGCTATGTTGAAGTTGATTGGTCCACGCTACCCTTTCCATGATTGAAGAGCTGGATTTTCGTGTTTACAGCAATACGACTGGGCTGTTGTCGTGAAGCCTGAAAGAGCAGACACGCGCTATAAACTACTTTTCAAAATGATTACTGGTTTTTGTGAAGTCTAAAATAACCAGTAATTTTGTAGGAATTTGAAAAAAATATTTTTGAGAGTTTCGATGACGTCATGGAATCAGTACCTATTCTCAACGCTTGTACGTCGTGTCCTGAAGGAGAACGAGGACCACCAGGGCCTATAGGAAGCCGTGGTAAGACTACGATTTTTCTGATTTATACGAATCCTTTTTCAGAAATAATCCTTTTGTAGGTAGACGTGGTCCGCGTGGTGCTTCTGGAAGTCCTGGGATGCCTGGTAGAAATGGAAATACTGGCTTACCAGGTGAGCTGCTTCATGCCGATCTAGGCCAAAGATGCACATTGAATTCATCGTTCCAGGCGCTATGGGACCGGAAGGCTTACCCGGTGTAATTGGGGAGTTGGGTAGAATCGGTTATCCCGGAATGAATGGCATAAAGGGTCAAGGAAAAAAAGGCCCAAAAGTAAGTAAGCTCATGAGCCTTCACATAAATGTCGATTACAAAAAATTCATTAAGGGAATACGAGGTCGTGAAGGTCCCATGGGCCCACCGGGCGACGATGGCGATTGTGGTGTTGACGGAGACGTTGGTCCAGATGGAGTAGTTGGAGAGGATGGAGAAGTCGGTCCTACAGGGAATGACGGTATTCAAGGACCAGTGGGGCATGATGGTGAACCAGGTGCGGTTTTTACTTCATTGCTCCATGATTTCTCCCTATTTGTGAATTTTACAGGTCAAGATGCTGAGTATTGCCCTTGTCCACGACGCCTCTATCACTACTCCGACATAGTGAAAAAAATTTTGTAACTCTGTATTTATTTACTGTTGTGTTTTTTCATACCTCTTCACCTATAAATATGTCACTTAGCAAAGCAACTGCTACCGCGGGAGCTTCTATTTATTTAACTGGTCTTGCATTTTTGCTGCCAAATTCAGCGGGTAGTGGTAGTCTTGATAGCGCAGATGGTCAGTACGGCGCCGGCGCCAGCGGTGGCGGTTTGAGGGCCGAAAAGCTTATAGTAACACTTTGTAATACTAGGGAAATAGAGCACCTTCAAAAGAAGGAAATATAACGCGGAAAATGTTTCCTCCGGATTTTTTCACTTCATTTTTCAGCTTATCGAAATGACTGGTAACAAAAGTCTTTATCTCTATCGGCAAAGATTTTTCTGCCATGGCAATTTTTGAACCCGACTCGCAGTCATGGCAATCTGGTGGTGTCTTTGACAGACAGAAGCCAGAACGAATCAAATGCAGTAAGCCGTTTTTTCACTTGAGAGAAAACTTCACAGAACATACTATAACTCAAGCAATACTTCTTGCCCGGCCTTCGGCTATGAAGCCTTGGAGGCTTGCCATCACTCAGTCTAAGCTTCTACAGGCACCCATTTATGAACAAAATCCATGGGAGGAAAAGAAATGAGTCAGGGATTTGTTCTGGGGCTCGAAACTCTCGAAAATATTTTTAAAGAGATTTGTGGTCTTTTTGACGTTCTTTGGACAGAGGCGTGATTAGCACGTGCTGCCCTGCAGTTTTCGGTCAACATCACGAGAACACCGTTGATAAGATGATTTCGCCTGCACAGGGAAAAATAAATAGGGAAAGGGGAGAAATTTCGCTGGCCATGCTGAAACCTGCCTATCAATTCAAATTTGACCCAAACGGTGCCTCATGAAGATTTTGTAAAATACTGGAAATTTCCTCAAGGGAAACTTGGCGGAGAAAGAGGTGAATGAGGAGGAAGTCATGGCTTATTGGGAACTCTAGATAGAGTCAACTCAAGGGAGTGCAGGAAAGTGAGTGGGGAGGAAAAAAAGGAGAGAAAGGAAAAAACTTTTCAGGACTGCCATTACGCACTGAATTCAGAAGTTCAGCCCAATTAGGTAACTCGGTTATGGACATCGACGGACAAGTCCTGAACAACAGTTTATTGCTTCTCATATGGGAGCTCATTTGGGAGCATTTTCGTGGGATTGGATACGTCGAGCGTAGACTGAGTTCCATGGCGAAAAAGCGCACAATCAAGGCGTCAATTCAATTACTATCACTAGTTGCTTCGGCCTTGTAGGAAACGAGTCGATCGGAGGCCAACTTACAAAGGTGACTACAAGTCTGACTTACTTTTCAAAAAAACTTTCTTTTTTTGTAACTTATACTGAGAAGTTGCTTACTAGGATTCTCACCAGATTCTGGTTAAGTGACGTTACACTGTGATGCTTTTTGCTAATGACGAATTCTTCAAGTGATGCTGTTTCCATGGTTTCCCATGGTTTCAATTGGTGCAATTAAAATGAGTGCTAGTATATCCGCTAGAAAAATACTTCCAGGAAGGACTCAAGAAGCCTTCCCTCTTCCTTTTCGGTCATCCATCTCTGGCTTCGTCAGCTAGTAAATAGGTAGTCTGAGCCTATAGCGAGGCAGAAAGGGCCTGAAAGTTTGTTATGAACGGAACTCCAACGTAGATGGATTAAAAGATGAAAAATGATTGAATGACGGTGACAGCTGTGAAAAGGATGACGACCGAAGAGCAGTCGCTGAAAGTAGGAGGAACACAACACAATCGATCCTCATTCGACCAACTTTGCCCATAACGATGCCAATGTGAAGGCGTGCCTTCAGAAGAACTCACCCTTTTTCGGATCGTTGTTCCTTTTCGTTGGCTTCTGTTCCCTCGTTGATGTTCGGGCGTTCCCTCGGCAAGTGTGACCCTCGAACGAAGTGTTTCCCTCTGTTTTTTCTACCATTTCCCGTTAACTATATTTAATGTGAACGACAAGATGGGACAGCCGCTGCAAAGGTCGCTGTATGGGTCGTAAAATTGATGGGACATAATGAATGTCTTTCTGTCGCTGTGCTCGTGAAACATCTTCATATATTTATCCTTTGAACCGAACCAACTGACTCCTACTAGAGAGAGCAGATCTATTGAGTGATCAAAGGCTCTGTTGGAATGCGCCAATCCACCCAATTTCTTTTCCGAATGATGGCTGGCTTTGTAGGAGCTCATGACCCGTATGTGGGATTCACAAACCAGCCAGTCAGCGTTTTTTTTTTCCTCTCTGTAGGGTCTGTTACGTTAAGACTGCCTTAGAACTATGGAAGGCTAGGTTAGTTTAATCTGTCACTGATCAGGACCTGTGATATGCTATCCATAGACCGTATTCCAGAAGTGGGGTCCCATGCCTCTGCTTGACCTTCGCCACAAGCACTATCTTGATTGAAACGTTTATTAATCAGTCTTTGTTTTCAAATTTCAGAAAATAAGAAAGACAAAGCGGTTGAGAAATCGCCTGATGTGAGGTCATTTGGCTTTGTTGCTGGGATGGTGATGCATTTGATTGTGTTTGTGGCTTTTGCAATGTTTTTCGAAGCATTTCGATGTTTACGCCAATGTTTTTGTACCCTCGTAAACAATGCTAGATTACTTGTCTCCAGAGAAATGAAAAGCTTGGCTCCTGGCCTAGCTGGTTGAGTTGCTCGAAACACGCCATTGCAATTCTGGCAAAAACACTGGCTTACTTCAATCTTTCAAAGTTTTTCTTGTTCTAATTTCTGCGAAAACCAACGGACGAGCATTTGATAGCTTCGGGAAGGAAGCCGGTCTCCTTCTACAATTTTAGCAACAATTCTCTGTATTCAGATGGGAAGGAAAATCCCTCAAACCCGTGGAAGGCAACAATATTTCTGGCGACAACTGATATCGTGAGATAACTTGGTGTCCCTTTTTATGTTTTTATTAGGTACTAACGATTACGACTTCTTTGAAGTGAACCCTTACAATGCTTCCTTCGGCAGAACAGATACACTGGCATATGGCGTCTCCACGCCTACTGTTGGAGGCTCAAATCGGCTTTGC